TGCGAGGCTCTGGGCTTAATGTCACAACCCTGAGATCATGACCTGAGTTGTAATCAAGAGTCAGATGCTTGACAGACTGAGCCACATAGGTACCCCTTAAGATTTTATTTTTTAAATAATCTCTCCACCCAGTGTGGGGCTTGAACTTACAACTCCAAGATCAAGAGTCGCATGCCCTACCAACCAAGCCAGCCAAGTGCCTCAAATCTAATAGCCTTTTAATAAATGCTATTGGATTTTCTACAAAGATGGTCACGTCATCTCTGACATTGTCTTTTTTTTAAACAATGAACTTGCTTTTAACCACAGATTTGTCATTTTAATATGTTCTTCATTTAATACTTCCCCCTAAAATATGTATAGGAAAGTGAAAACAGAAGCCATCCCATAAAACCTTTTACTGAGTTTTCACTATCATACTCACTATCAATAAACCGTTAGAACGGTGGTTCTCAACCAGGTGTGATTTCACTCCCCAAAGGACATTTGGCAATGTCTGCAAAACTGTTTGTCACAACTGGGATGAGGGGGCTACTGACAACTAGTGAGTAGAGGCTAAACGTTGTACGATGCACAAAATCACAAAATGTGACAAAGAATTATGTAGCCCCAAATGTCAATAGTGTTGAGGTTGAGAAATTCTGCACTAGAAATCAGTACATACACAGATGTGATCCTCACGATAAATGTCTTTATGCAGACAGTACAATGTAGACAGATGTAGCAGGGCTCATCTAAATTTCATATAAATTTTATCCTTTCCTTGAATCCTGTAAAAATTGAACTTTCTCTTTTACTTGAAGAGGTGTCCCGTGGTTCTTCTGACATGCAGTTTCCCTCATTGGAAAGGGTCAATGAACTTGACATTGTAGTACTATAAGATTTGTTTCTGGTTCTTTTAGGTTGATCAAGCTAGAACAAATTCGTGCTATGGAGTCAGATTCCCCATGGTGAGACCTGTTTTTTGGGAAACTGGACTGGTCCAGAACCTGGAGAAATGGGAGCAGACGTGATGAGTTTCTAAGCTAAGCCTCCGAAGGATGGGCAGGGTAAGCTGAGTCAATGCCTCAATTCACAGTCATCCATGGCTGAAACACTCTCTGCTGGCAGTGACCTTGCCCCTCCTTTCCTTGCAGCAATAGCTCTATCAGCTCCTGGGGGCTCAATGTCCGCATGATGGCTCAGCCCTGTGGTCTGAATCACCCAGGAGAACTGATATGTTAATGGGGCTGGGACTGTGTAACCTGGGTTCCTCTGGCAGTGGCCAAAGCCAGCTGGATCACCAAGTACAGTACCGTTGAAGGGTGGCACTAACATTCAGGCTCAGCACCTCATTCCAGATGGTTCTATAAGGGTCTATTCAGCCAGAGTAGCCCCACCCTGGTTGAACTGCCATTTTGCTGTAAAGCTTAAATTGACCTTGCCCCCCCACAGGGGAACTTATTTAAAAGCAAGTCTGGGAAACCAGTCCCACGTAACAAAGTCCAAATACAAGGGTGGGTCAGGCCAGGTGGAGGTATTCAATAAGTGGGGGCGCATGCTGTCTCCTAGCTACCAAGGAGTGTGGGCCCCGCCCTTTGGGCACATTTTGGGTGCCAATTCTGAACTAGGTGATAGGCTGGTTCAAATGTCTACTAGGGTAAATTGTAATTCAATTGGTTGTCTAGCATCACTGTGGAGTTTCCTGTGTGTGTTACAATCTCATTGGCCACCTGTGTGTGGCCAGGCCCAACCACATGGCCTTTGCTCTATAAAAGTTAGTCTGGAAAGCAGGGAGGGGTCGTCCTTTCTGTAGGGGCGGCCCCAACCGGTCTGTTTGATGGTCAGTCTGATTCCTGATGCTTGGCGTGAAATAAAGCTTTGCTTGACCTTCGCTTTGTATCAGTCTCGCTCCTTTAATCACGGACCCATTATTGGGGGACCCAATTTTGGGGGACCCAAACAGTTCCCATGGCTTCACTGGATCCCTTTCAGCCTACAGAGCTGCAAAGCAAAGTAGCTTAGGCCATCTGCCAAGAAACCTGGGTGACAGGGTCCTCCCCTGAGGCCTTTGGATCCACTGGTGCAGCTGGTATGTCCTGGTACCTGGCTACCTGGAGGCAGAGGTTTGGACAAAAAGACCTGCTGGGGCATAGGTGGCACAGAGAGGGGACACTTCCTGCAGCTCCATTCCAAGGGTGTCAGATATAGGTCCTTCCCTCCCACCCTGAGGATACCCTGGCTGCTCCTGGACTTAGACATGGTTTCTCTGTTTCCTTTAGTCCCTCCCAAGCCCCTTTCAACACCTCTTCAGTGGGAAGAAGGCATCAGTTCTCAGCTCCTGACCTTTTCCCTTGGGATTGTTTTCCCCAGATTTCACTAGGCAAGGCTCCTCCAGAGGGAGGCTGGGGTAGCCAGATCCTTGATGTAGATTTCTTATTGATCCCCTTCACTTCTGCCTGTGAGTTGGGTGGGTGTTCCTGGCACAGGAGACCCTCCATCCCTGATTCACCGAGTTAACTGTCCACTTTGTCTCTGGTTTTATCTGCTTATCTCTTTCTCTCTCTCCATTCTCTTCCTCTTATAGTCTCTCTCAGAGGCCTCTCTCCTTCCCCCACACTCTCCCTCTTTGGTTCTCCTCTCCTCTTTACCTCTTGACTTAAGGTGTTGGCTGCCACATCTCTAGCTGATGTTCAAACCCTAATACAACCACAAAAAGCGCCAGTGACATTGCCCTTAATCACCTGTTGCTGTCACATCCTGGGGGATGTCCAGAAGGCAGGGACATTTGCAATCAGGGCTCAGAGACATTTACTGCAGAAAGGAACTGGAGCATGGAATCATGGAGAACACATCTCCTGGGGGCCAACACTTTCACCGTGAGCCTGAACATGAAATAATAATAATTATGAATCAATATCCCTCAGATATGAACTTTGGTCCTGGTCCTCCATAGAGGACCTCATAAATGTCTCATAGACACTCAGGTCTGCCCTTGCACCTGGTTCTCTGCTCAGTTTTCTCTCTACACAGCCTTCTATTAATGCTTTGGCCACCAATGCTCCACTGGTTGGGGCATTTAATTTAGGTATCTGTCAACTAGTTGTTCTATCATCAGTTTACTCTGTCATGAAAAGCAAACATGAGTCTTTACTTCCATCAGTGCCTAATCTGATCTGTGAATGAAATCCAAGGCTCTTAACATTAGTGTTCCTTGTTGAGCTATATATTAAACCCAGATTGCACTTCTAGATGTTACCATCAATGCCCCTCTTTTCTGACCTGCCTCTGCCTATTAAATCTTTATTCATTAATGACCTTTAGCTTTAACCTTAAACCCAGGGCTCTGTTGAGTATTCTGCCGTCAATGTGTCTATGTTCTAGATCTTAAACCTGGGCTTCTGTTAACTTTTCCACCACCAGTGTGCTCCTATGACCATTACCTAGGGGGTCTACTGATATTTCCAACAGTTTCCTTTGTTCTGACTTTGAACCCAGGCCTTTGAAAAAATTCTGACATAAAAGCCTGGGCCCTTTATTGGTAACCATCTGGTCTGAATTCAAACCTGATCTACTGTCACTAGTCTTTCCCTATTAATACTTTGTGCCTTAATCAAGTCTTCCACCACCATTAACCCTCTAATTTGTTGTCTTACATGGAAAAAAGGACCAGATATGATTTGAGATGGGAAGATTATTATGGATTATCCAGATGAGTCCAATGTAATCACAAGGATCCTTTTGAGAAGGAAGAGGAGGGTTAGATTCAAAGAACGTGTGAAGGTGGAAGCAGAAGGTCATGGAGACTTGAAGATGCTACACTTCCTATTTAGGTCACTATTTTACGTTCAGTGTCCTTCTAGTCTGACCTAGAAGTAAGATTTTTAAAAAAGATTTTATGTATTTATTTGAGAGAGAGAGAGAGAGAGAGAGAGAGCGAGCAGAGGGGGAGAGTGAGAGGGAGAAGCCGACTCCCTGCCAAGCTGAAAGCCCGGTGTGGGACTCGATCCCACAACCCCGAGATCGTGACCTGAACCAAAGGCAGACTTTACTTGTTAGTTTTCTCCATCCATGAACCTTGATAGAGGTCTTAACTATTTCACCATCGATACTCCTCTATTTTGTAGATCTAGAATGTGAGCCTTTGTTAACTATTCAATCCCATTCTGGGCTGACCTCAACGCTAGTCTTTTGTTAAGTTTTCTAAAATCAATGCCCCTTAGGCTCTACATTAAACCTCTGCCCCTCTTACTTCTTTCGGCTTTGACATGGGCTGCCAAAGGCCACATCTGCCCACTTTAAGAGACCGGGGCAGAGAGTCTGGCCTGTGAGTGACAAGAGGGAGCGGACCTTCTGTGTTCCAAGGAGCCAATAGAAGAGCAGGAGAGCCCTGAGGCGGGGCCTTGAGTGACCAACGGGTAGGGGGCTCAGCTCCAAGAAGGCCGGAGGGCTCTGACGCTAGGCTGCCAGAGGTGGGCCGGGAGTGTGAAGAAGAGACTACACTATGTCCAAAGACTCTTCACTTTCACCAGAGGTTTTAGAAACGAGGCTTCTGCAGAGGAATTTCCCAGGCTGTGCTTCTACCTTCTGGCCTTACCAGTCCTCCGCCCCCCTCCCCAGATCCCGATTCCCACCCAACACTCCCGACCTGCACGTCGCCCCGCCTTTGCTCAGGCCCGGCCTCTGCAGAGGACCGGGAACGCCCCTTCACCCTCCCGGAAAAGTCCTCCACATCCGAGCCTCACACTGCTTTCAAAGCACTAATTCCGAATACCCAGCCTCGAAAATATCACGGGGACTCCCCGTCCCCTAAAATGCCTATCTCTTCTGGTTGGAATGGGAGCCTCCAGAAGCAGTGTGAGGCCCTGGCCGGCGACAGAGTTCCTGGCGTAGCCCGAATGACGCCATTTTTGTTACTGGCAGAGCTCGGCTGGGAGGCTGTTGCTGAGCCTGCGAAAGATAAGCTAATGCGTCATCTAGAGTTACCAAGGAGGGCTGGAGGGGAAAGGGAATTTCGGGCGATGCTGAGCCTGCTTGTGGAAGCAGGGAGCCAAGCTCGTCTTGAGAAGGAGCTTTGGGGTCCTGAGAGCAGAGCCAGGGTGAGGGACCCGGTTGAGTGATGAGGGTCTGTGTGGTCAGTGATGGGGACATGTGGAAGGACCAATGAAGGGGTTGTTTGGGCTGAATGATGTGGAGAGCAGTGATAGGGAAGGGAGTCTGTAGGACTGTGTGTGGGATATGCGATGAATTTATGGAAGTGAGGGGGGGGGGGTCTGTAGGTAAGTGATGGGGTTTCTAGGAAGTGAGTGAAAGGGGTTTGTGGGGTGAGTGAATGGGGTCTGGGTGAGTGATGGAGAGTTTTTTGGGTGAATGATGGTGGATCTGGGGTGAGCAATGGGGTGGTCTTTATTAGGGTGAGTGATGAGAGTCCATGGGGTCAGGAGTGGGCAAATGTAGGGTCAATGTTGGGATTCTGTGGGGTCCATGATGGGTGGCTCTTTGAGATCAATAATACATCCATGAATAAACAAAAATCCTTGCCCTTGTGGGGTCAACATTCCAATGGAGGAGTCAGACATTGAGGCTTTACTTTATTTCCCTGATGACTGCTTTTTCATATATGTATTGATCTCTTAGATCCTCTTTCGTGAGGCACCTGTTCAGATCTTTTGCTCATTTTCTTATCGGATGTCTGCCTTTTCCTTATTGATTTGTAGGACTTGTTTTCATATATTCTGATAACTACTCCTTTAGCAGTGGTATGTGTTTTGCCAATATTTCCTTGATTTTTTGGCTTCTCTTTTCCTCATTGTGGCTTTGAATATTAAGGTTTTAAGTTAACTTTGAGCTGTAAAGCACAGTGTAAGTTTAGAGTTTTGTTATTCTCAAGTTAAAAAGCAGACAATGTCCTCTGTAATTTAGGACGAGAATTAATTTTTTATGGCACTGGGAAATAGCATGTTGCATCTCTGAAGACTTCGGTGCCATGACAGCCAGGGAGGAGTTCTCTGCTTTTTTTTTTTTTTTTTTAAGATTTTATTTATTTATTTGACAGACAGAGATCACAAGTAGGCAGAGAGGCAGGCAGAGAGAGAGGAAGGGAAGCAGGCTCCCTGCTGGACAGAGAGCCCTATGCGGGGCTCAATCCCAGGACCCTAGGATCATGACCTGAGCCGAAGGCAGAGGCTTAACCCACTGAGCCACCCAGGCGCCCCTAGTTCTCTGCTTTTTGTTTTCCCACAAGCTCACCCTCTAGTCACTGGCTGTGTGATCATGGATAAGTTACTGAAACTTTTAGGCCTCAGTTTCCTCACTGTGAAATGAGGATAATAGTAGGGTCTATCCTTTGAGGCTTGGATGATAATTGAGTTAATACCGGATTATTATCTATTCACCATGGTTTTGTAGCACTTATCTTGTACGGATCGTCCATGAACTGAAGATCAGCTCTATTCGTGTGATTCCCAAGAAAATATAATGAAAGAAATCAAATGCCAAGTAATAAGATTTTGTCAGGTAGCGTTGAGCTTTGGAGGGCCACAAACCATTGCGATTATCTTAGGGGTCAGATGTTTGTTGTTATTAAACAATTGGGAGTGTGATCTTGTGGTCTGCCTTGTCTTCATTCTGCAGCTGTATTTCCATGCTATTAACTTCATTTCCATATTACTACTAAGCTCATTTCTATGGAAATTTTTTTTCAAGATTTTATTTATTTGTCAGAGAGAGAGCGAGAGCGAGCACAGGCAGACAGAGTGGCAGGCAGAGGCAGAGGGAGAAGCAGGCTCCCTGCCAAGCAAGGATCCCGATGTGGGACTTGATCTCAGGACTCTGGGATCATGACCTGAGCCGAAGGCAGGTCACTTAACCAACTGAGCCACCCAGGCTTCCCTCTGTGGAAATTTTTAAACATTCAGCAAAATAAGAGGGAATTCTATAATAACCCCCCATTATGCCCATCACCCAGTCACATCAATCGTCTCCTGATGGCCACTGTTGTTTCACCTAGACCAGGGTATGGAAAACCAGAGGCAGTGGGCCATATTGGCTCGCTGCTCTTTTCATGCAGCCATAAACTAAGAATGGTTTTCACATTTTTTAATGTTTGGAAAAAAATCAGACTATGTTGTGACATATGAAAATGATATAAAATTCAAATTATAGTGCTCATAAGTGAGGTTTTTAAAGAGTATACTTAAAAAATTTTTTTTCAAGTGAGACAGTGCCATGGGGGGAGGGGCAGAGGGAGAGGAATAGAGAGAGAGAGAGAGAGAGACACTCTCAAGCAGGCTTCAAGCTCAGTGTGAAGCCCGATGCAGGGCTTGATCTCACTACCCTGAGATCATTGACCTGAGTTAAAAATCAGGAGTCAGACTGATTTTAACGGACTGAACCCCCCAGGTGCTCCATAAATGAGGTTTTACTGGAACACAGTCAATAAACAGAATTGGCTTATATATTGTCTCTGGCTGCTTTCAACCGCTGAATAGTTAGTTGCAACAGAGACCATAGGCTTCACAAATCTGAAATATTTACTATCTGTCTCTGTACAGAGAAAGTTTGCCAACCTGTAATCTAGACCGCCCATTTATTTCTCCCTCCTAGGTTGTTTTCTCCTTGTTATTGGTAACATAAAATGCACATTTAAAAAAAAGATTTTACAGGTCATGATCTCAGGGTCCTGGGATCAAGCCCCGCATCAGGCTCTCTGCTCAGCGGGGAGCCTGCTTCCTCCTCTCTCTGACTGCCTTTCTGCCTACTTGTGATCTCTGTCGAATAAATAAATAAAAAATCTTTTAAAAGATTTTATTTATTTATTTGACAGACAGAGATCACAAGTAGGCAGAGAGGCAGGCAGAGAGAGAGAGAAGAGGAAGCAGGCTCCCTGCAGAGCACACAGCCCGATGTGGGGCTTGATCCCAGGACCCTGGGATGAAGACCTGAGCCGAAGGCAGAGGCTTTAACCCACTGAGCCACCTAGGCGCCCCTAAAATGCACATTTTTAAAAAAGATTTGACAGAGAGAGAGAGAGAGAGAGAGAGAGAGAGAGCACGAGCCGGGGGAGGGGCAGGCAGAGGGAGAAGCAGACTGCCGGATGAGCAGGGAACCTGATATGGGACTCCATCCCAGGACCATGGGATCATGACCTGAGCTGAAGGCAGATGCTTAACTGACTGAGCCACCCAGGTGCTCCTAAAATGCACAAATATTAAGTGTATAGCCAAATGAATCTTTACATATGTAGTCCTTATTATTTTGAAACAAATCCCAGATATATCATTTCATAATAAAGACTTCATCATGTACCTGTAAAAGATAAGGTCTTAAAGGTCAATACTGTTATTCAAGGTAAAATAATTAACAATAATAACTTCAGATCATCATTGGTTAAATTTTGTAATATCATTAAATATCTAGTCAGGGCTCAAACTTTAATGATTATCTCAAAGATTTTTTTGTGTATTCAAATTAAGATCCAGACAAGGTCCGCACTTTACATGTGGTTGCTGTGTCTTTTGAGCCTCTTAATTGTCTCTAGTGTTACTTTAAATGGTCACCTGCTTTTCCATTTCTTGGAGGTTCCACAAATTATTTTCTCAGTCCTCAGTGACTGGGCATTTGGTTATTTTCAAAACTGTGGTGTTCTTGACAAAGTTGTGATGAAAGTTCTTTCAGTTAAATCTCTGCACGCATCCGTGATTATTACCTTAGAAAAAGTTCTAGAAATGGAAATGCTGGTCAGATGATAAACACAGATTATCAATGAATTAACAAGCAACACATGTTACATTCAGCCATCGAAGAGTGGTTAAACCCAGCTTGGTCTCTGAAGACTCTTCTGTACCCCACCGCACCCCCAATTGCTTTCCGAAGAGAAACAGAAAATGACTGAGTCCCAGGTAAGTTGTTTGTTTCCTGCTTGTTTTTCCCACAGTAAAATGAGAAAGGACAATACTTTGAAAATAAGAATTAGAGAAATTTAGACAGAATAGAAGATCAAGATGCAGGTAAAGTTGCTGTTAAGATACATAGATTATGTGGCCTTACTTCATATAAACTGAGCTAAACATTTTACCTTCAAGCTTCCTGGCAGCCACAGGGAAAATGGCAAACAGGATACGTTAGATGGCTTGTATTCTCCATCAAGAGAAGTTCAGTCCAGCTCTTCAGCAAGTCACAATTTCTGGGACTTTAGCTTAAAAAATTTTATTGCTGAGTTTTCCTAAAGGCCAGTGGTTTTCCACTCAGTGGGGTATCATCAGTAGTTGTTTCAAAGAGGCGCTTTTTAGTTAAAATTTTCTGGCAGAGGCTTGGAGGGTGGATGGTTTCCTGGTTTTCCATGGCTCCTTTGCTGTCATCACATAGTTTGTGGGATCATGCCCCAACACAAGGCCAGTTCCTTCTCTGCTCTTCCATTTTATGTCTTTTTTAAAAATAGTTTTTAAATTTTTTTATTTTTATTTTTTTAAAGATTTTATTTATTTATTTGACAGACAGAGATCACAAGTAGGCAGAGAGGCAGGCAGAGAGAGAGGGGAGGAAGCAGGCTGCCTGCCAGGACCCTGAGATCACGACCCGAGCCGAAGGCAGAGGCTTTAACCCACTGAGCCACCAGGTGCCCCAAAATAGTTTTTTAAAAAAGATTTTTATCCATCCATTTGAGAGAGAGAGAGAATACGAGTGGGGGAGAGGGGCAGGGGGAGAGGGAGAAGCAGACTGCCCATAGAGCAGGGAGTTAGATGCAGGGGTCAATCCCAGGACCCTGGAATCACCACTGGAGCTGAAGCCAGATGCCTAACTGACTGAGCCACCTAGGTGTCCCCATTTTATGTCTTTTTATCCCTTCTCTGCAAGGGTAATATATATATGGTGCAAAAAATGTAAATAATATTGCAAAGTAAAAATTAGAAAGGGAAATATCTCTTTAATGTAACTTCTGCCCTCTTCCCTGGTATAACTAGTGTTGTACAGTTTGGGGATGATCCTTCCAGATACATATAACCCCTGCATGTATAGATACATATGCATGAATGTGTGTGAGTGATTTTATTATTTTCATGTATTTTTCTTTACCACACACACTATATCTTCTGTAACTTTTAAAAAATGTATTGATAAAATATTACCAATAAATACAGCTTTTATATATTTTATTATGGAAAATTTCAATTTTGAACATACACAGAAGTAGATTTTTGTGAACCGCTTGTCCTTATCTCCCAGCTGCAAATATTATCAACTGATGGCCAATCTTGTTTTATCTATGGTCAATCTTCATCCACTCCTGTCATCCTCCTCCTCATCATTATCATCAAGCCAGTCCTTTATTAATATTTTTGTTGAGGATTTTTACTACTCTGTTCATGAGACATATTGACTTGTAATTTTTCTTCTATTTCTGTTTATGTTTTGCCATCACAGTTAGGTTGGCTTTATTTAACAAGTTGGGAAGTATTCTCTGAAAGAGTTTGGGTAAGATTACTATTATTTCCTTCTTAAATATTTGAAAGAGTTCTCCAGTGAAGTCATCAGGGTGTGGAGTTTTCTTTGTGGATAGGTTTTTGACTATGAATTTGACTTATTGAAAAAATATGGTACCATTCATATTTTCTATTTCTTTGTACATTGGGTTTGTTAAGCTGCGGTTTTCAAATAATTTGTCCAGTTTGCCTAAGTCTAAATCAGGGGTCAGCAAACTTTTCCTGTAGAGGGCCAGATAGAAATATTTAGGCCTGTTGGCCATATGGTCTTTGTTGCAACGACTCAGCTCTCTTTTTGTAGGTTGAAAGCAGCTGTAGACAATATGCAAACCAATGAGTGTGGCTGTGATCCAGTGAAATTTTATTTATGGACACTGAAAGTTGAATTTCATATAATTTTTACATGCCATAAAATATTGTCCTTTGGCTTTTTTCTTCAACCATTTAAAAGTGTAAAAACCATTCTTAGCTCATGGGCCAGATTTAGCCTGCATGCCATAATCTGCTGTCCTATGATCTGCATCGTCAAATTTCTTGTCATAAAATTGTTCATAGCATCCTTTTATTATTCTTTTAATGTTTGTAGGATACCAGCCCCTTGTTGATGGACTTTTTTATTTTATTTATTTATTTTTAATTTATTTTTAAAAAGATTTTATTTATTTGAGAGAGAGACTGAACACACAGAGGGAGAGTGAGAGGGAGAAGCAGACTCCCAGCTGAGCAGAGAGCCTGATGTGGGATTCGATCCCAGGACCCTGGGATCATAACCTGAGCTGAAGGCAGATGCTTAACTGACTGAGCCACACAGGTGCCCTGCTTATTGCTTTCTAGAGGCTTTTTTATGAGTGATAGGAATTTTGAAGTACACATTACAAACTTCTTTTTTTTTTTGGCTATGTATTGATTTGTCACTCAGCCTTATTGGCTGTCTCCTCTCACTAGATTATGAGATGCTTGAGGGAAGATATTTTTTCCAGCTTTCTTTCTGGCTCAATCCCCAGTTCCTAGAACAATCCCTGGTATTCAGTGGGGTCTCAGTAACAGCTTTCTGCATAGATGAAATTTTTTTCACCTACAGTGTATCTTAGAGATTGTTGCATATCAATCCTTGTTGCTTTTTATGGTTGTATGTGGTATTCCTTTATGAATTATTGAAGCATAATTCATCCGATCCTCATGAGGTTGTCATCATTTTGCTGTTATAAACAGTACTGTAGTTTTTTATTTATTTATTTTATTTTTTATTTTTTTAAAAGATTTTATTTATTTATTTGACAGGCAGAGATCCCAAGTAGGCAGAGAGGGAGGCAGAGAGACGGGGGGAAGCAGGCTCCCTGCTAAGCAGAGAGCCCGATGTGGGGCTCGATCCCAGGACCCTGGGATCATGACCCGAGCCAAAGGCAGCGGCTTAACCCACTGAGCCACCCAGGTGCCCCAGTACTGTAGTTTTTTAAAAAAGATTTTATTTATTTATGTGACGGAGAGGGAGAGAGATAGTGAGAGAGGGAACACAAGGAGGCGGAGTGAGAGAGGGAGAAGCAGGCTTCCCGCTGAGTGGGGAGCCTGATGCAGGACTCAATCCCAAGACCCTGGGATCATGACCTGAGCCAAAGGAAGATGCTTAACGACTGAGCCACCCAGGCACCCAACAGAACCATAGTGAAATAACTTCACACGTGCTGTTTTGTTCACATACCTGAATATATATGTTAAGTAATTTCTAGAAATGGAATTGCTGGTCAGATGATGTGCACATTTAAAATTTTAATGGCTATTATCAAATTAATTGCCCTCAAAATATTTTGTACCAGTGTATACCCACAATTTGAGTGTGCTCTTTTTTGGTATCTTTACCAACTTAGTGACTTATCAAACTCTAATCTTTGATAATATGTAAGAAAAGCATGATGTTTTGTTTTGGTTTAATTTGCATTTCTCTTCATGTAAATGGATTTGAACATCATTTTCCATGTTTAAAAGCCATTTGCATTTCCTTCTCTGTGAATTGATGGTCGTGTCCTCTGATTATTTTTTTAAAAAAGTGAAGTTGTTGGTCTTTTTCTTCGTGCTTTGTAGGAGCTCTATAAGTTGAGGAAATTATCTCTTTGTCCATTTTATGTGTTGTGCACACATCCACTCCCCAGTTAGTTGCTTGTCCTTTGAGTTTGTTTATGATATATTTTGTTGTGCAATACAGAAACTAGTCAGATTTATCACTGTTTTCCTTTGTGGCATCTAGGTTTTGTAGCATGCCTAGCTAGAAGATTTTTCTCCACTTTAAACTTATTTTAAAAATCTCTCCTGTCTTTCTTTATTTTATGGCTTCTCTTTTTCTTTGTTTAAGTTTTTGTTGTATCTCAAATTTATTTTTGTGTATGGTGTGAAATAGGGAGTCTGTCTTTACATTTTTTTCTAATAGCTACCCAGTTTTGAATAATCTGTCTTTTTTGCAGTTATTGATTTATTTATGTATTTTTTTAAAGATTTTATTTATTTATTTGACAGAGAGAGATCACAAGCAGGCAGAGAGGCAGGCCGAGAGAGAGGAGGAAGCAGGCTCCCTGCTGAGCAGAGAGCCCGATGTGGGGCTCGATCCCAGGACCCTGAGATCATGACCTGAGCCGAAGGCAGCGGCTTAACCCACTGAGCCACCCAGGTGCCCCTTATTTATGTATTTTTATTTTATTTTTAAGTAACCTCTACTCCTCACATGGGGCTCAAATTCACAAACCCAAGATTAGGAGTCACATGCTCCATCGACTGAGCCAGCCAGGCGCCCCTGCACTTATTTAAAATACTCCTTTCTTATATATTAAATGTCCCATTTTTATTTATATCTAGCTTTAGACTATTTGTTCTGTTCCACTAACTATTCTTGGCAATGGCAGAATTTTACAAAGTTTTTCTCCTTAAGTAGGCTACACAAAGGTGCTAAGTAAGTATCCTACAGGTATTGCTGTGGTAAAAATGATCAGAATGAGCAGATTGTACAGGAATGTGCTGTCATAGGAACCAGTGACATATGAAGATGTGGCCGTGGACTTCACCCAGGAAGAGTGGCAGCACCTGGATGCTGCTCAGAAGACCCTACACAGAGATGTGATGCTGGAGATCTATGGCCACCTGGTCTCTGTGGGTAAGGGCATATTCTCCATGGAACAATGAATTGAATCCTCTTCATCCTTCAGAGCTGTCAAGACCATGACCTTTATGATTTTCCATGAATAAAGTCTTCTTTTATAGCTTGCACTTTCCATTCATATTTTTGTTATATCTGAAATTTATATTTGTGAGTTAAGGATCCATCTTTCCTTGGGAGGCCCCTGAGACTGCTTCTTCTCCTCATGGATTTCTGAGCTGCCAAGGCCAAGACAATTATACTTTTCCCTTAACAGGGTGTTCAAGTATAAAACCAGGTATAATCTTCAAGTTGGAACATGAAGAGGACCCATGGATCATAAAGAGTGAATTGTCAACATGGATCCACTCAGGTGAGTGAGAATTGGGTAGATGGCTGAGAGGACATTTTCTTCTTCTCTGACATCAGTGGCCTCCTTTCTTTCTTAAAATTCATTAGGCCTTTTTTATAGCATCCATCTTACATTAGCACCTTCCTAACACTTCTGTTTGTTGCTGTTTTCTTTTTGGTTCCTATTTGATTTTATATTTTTCTTCTTCTTTCAGACAGGGAGAAAAGCCTTGACTCCTCCCAGCAGATCATTTCAGAACTTTCATTTCAAAAGGAGATATTGGAGAAAGCCCCAAAAGATAATTCATTGTACTCTCTCTTAAAAGCCTGGCATACTGATGGTCAGATAGATAGGTATCAAGGAAACCAAGACAAGGTTTTGAAGCAGGTCACAGTCCTTAGCCATGAAACATTGGCCAAGGAGAAAACCCCCAAATATAATACATTTGGAAAAATATTTGGTGGGTGCATAGACCTTGGCCCTTCAAGTAAAAAACTCCATGATTTTGATTCATGTGAAAAGAGCTTGAAATCTAATTTAGACTCACTGACATGCAATAGGAGCTATGCAAGAAAGAACCCCATTGAGAGATTTGGATGTGGGACACCACTTAGCTGTAGTGATTCCTGTACTGTGCCTGAGAAAATTTATACTGACATGAAACCCCATGGACATAGTCGATGTGAAAAAGGTCTTAATCATGAACAAGTCCATATTCAGTATAAGAAAGATCAAGCTGGTAGGAAACCCAATGTTTGTAGTGAGTGTGGGAAAGGGTTTATTAAGAAGTCACAGCTTACTATACATCAAAGAATTCATACTGGAGAGAAACCGTATGTATGTGGAGACTGTGGAAAGGCCTTCAGTGAGAAATCACACCTCATTGTGCATCAGAGGATTCATACTGGGGAGAAACCTTATAAATGTACTGAGTGTGGGAGAGCTTTCTCCCAGAAGTCACCCTTCATCGTTCATCAGAGAGTCCATACTGGAGAGAAACCCTATGAATGTTTTGAGTGTCAAAAAGCCTTCTCTCAGAAGTCACATCTCATTATACATCAACGAGTTCATACTAGAGAGAAGCCATTTGAATGCAGTGAATGTGGGAAAGCCTTCTGTGAGAAGTCTCACCTTTTTACACACCAGACAACTCATACTGGAGAGAGACCCTATAAATGTACTGAATGTGGGAAAACTTTCCCTCGGAAAACACAACTCATCATCCATCGGAGAACACATACTGGAGAGAAACCCTATAAGTGCAGTGAATGTGGAAAAACCTTTTGCCAGCAGTCCCACCTCATAGGACATCAAAGAATTCATACAGGAGAGAAACCTTATATATGTACTGACTGTGGAAAAGCCTTTTCCCAAAAGTCACACCTTACTGGACATCAAAGGCTTCATACTGGTGAGAAACCTTATATATGTACAGAATGTGGAAAAGCCTTCTCTCAGAAGTCCCCTCTTATTATACACCAAAGAATTCATACGGGGGAGAAACCTTATGAGTGTAATGACTGTGGTAAAACCTTCTCCCAGAAATCACCCCTCATTATTCATCAGAGAATCCATACAGGGGAGAAACCCTATGAATGTCCTGAGTGTGAAAGGGCCTTTTCCCTGAAGTCACATCTCATTATACATCAGAGAGCTCATGCTGGAGCAAAACCATATGAATGTAGTGAATGTGGAAAGGTCTTCTGTGAGAAGTCTCCACTAGCTGTGCATCAGAAAACTCATACTAGGGAAAAAACCTCTGAATCTGCTGAATATGGGATGGCTTTTTCCCGGAAATCACAGATGATCACATATCAGAGAACAGACACAGGGGAGAAACCGTCAAAATGCAGTGACTGTGGAAAGGTGTTCTGCCAGCATATACACCTTGCTGGACATCAGAATCCACATAGGAGAGAAACGTTGTGTATGTACTGATTGTGGGAAGGTCTTCCCAGAAGTCAGATCTCACTGTGCGTGAAAAAACTCACACTGAACAGAAATCTACGGATGTGTTGGACAGGAAGAAAATGTGGCACCTCCTTTACTGTAGAATAGCCTCATATGCTGCTAAGTATTTCTTTTTTTCTGTAAAGATTTTATTTATTTATTTATTTGAGGGGGTGGGGAAGAGGAGTGGGAGAAGGACAAGCAGACTCTGTGTTGAGCTCGGAGCCCATCGTGGGGCTTGATCTCAGGACCCTGAGGTCGCTACCTGGGCTGAAATTGACTGAGCCACCCAACCACCCAATTCTGAAGTATTTCTGATTACCCCTCCACAGAATGATCTTGTCAGGTTCTCAATACCGTAAATGTGGAATGGATTTGTTCACCCTCAAAGTATCCTATCCCCCCTCACAGAATAAATGTATCTGGCACAATTAGCACTGTTTGGGTGTTATTTGGTCCTTGAAGGTATTGTAGAACTCTCCTTGAATTTATTTGGGGATGGTGCATTTTTTGAAAGCAATCTTTCTGTATTTCTTTCATCATATTTTCTCTCTTTAGATTACACATATATTTATGTTGATATACCTATCGATATATAGATATAGATATATGAATCCCTGTAATTTTCATAAAAATCATCCATTTCCTGAAGGTTCTTAATATATTTGTGAAATTTTGAAAAAATATATTTGTGAAATTTTGAGCAAAGTGATCTCATATGATTCATTTGATTTTCCTCTAAATATGGAGTTATTTCTCCACTATCATTTCTTATAGAGTGTATTTGTGATTTTTTCCCCCTCAGTTAGGTAAACTAATACTTATGTTTTGTTTATCTTATGTCCCCCCAAAGACCAATTCTTGCATTTATATAATTTCTCCATTTTCCAATTCATTCATTGGTACTTTTTATTTCATTAAAGTCCTTCCATTTTCTTTTCTATTTCTTCTAACCTCGTTAATTGAATGTGTATGTCAATTAATCTCATTCTTTCTGGTCTGTTTATAGATGTGTTTTGGGCTGTGTATTAATCTGAGAACTACCTTAGCAGTTTGTGGTTCAATCTGAGAGTATTCTGGTTTTTGATAGGTTAGTCCTACTGTATAACCCAATATTGTTTGTGGATATAACAGATCTATTTAGTCTTAGGTCTTTCAGCGTATTTCCTGTTGTGCATCCTGTTTTCATTGCTTTTATGTCTTTTCATCTTTCACCATGTGTTCTAATTTCTTTTGTACTGTTCTGGATGTGTTACTTGTGTTCCAGAGCATAGCAAAGGGATGTATGCTTTCAAAAGGTTTTCAGGAAGCTAGCAGAATTATGGTTTCCATAATCTTGATAACCCATAGTAGCAGAGAGATGAGATTTGAGGCTGCAAAAAAGCATGATGGCAAACTTTTGATCATAAATGTTCAGAGGACTTTTTTTTTTTTTTTACCTTTCTGCTTAATGCCATGATTTAAGGTATATAATTTCTCTTACAGTCCTTTTGGGCAGAGATGGTTTTATTTTTAGCTCATTCTTTCACAGAGAGTAAAGCCTTTTTGTTTCCAAATTTATGTCAGCAGTCTTTGCCCACATTGAACAGGACATGTTCTTGAAAACTGTAGTGTGAGTGACTTTGGTTTGGTGATTGTTCTTGAAGTGAAGGATACGCAATAGTGAAATGTCTGTTTGCTGTGGTGTGGCCCAGCTTCTGGGGTCTGGTCTCTTATGGAGTCAGTGACTTGCAGCACACCACAGCAAGAATGGGGAATTTCCTAAAAATGTCCCAGAGTGTGGATGGGCATTATTACTTCATGTGCAACCAATCTTTACTGAGCATGGCAGGCACTACTGTAAGGATTCTGCAGTGAACAAAGCAGACAGAAATGTCCCTGTCCTCATGGAGAGATGGACAATAAAAAATTATATATATTATATTAAAATACATTTATATAATATGTATCATAGATAAGTGTATTTTTAATATAGTAAAGAATAAAAAGCTTAATGTAACATAGATAATATTTAAGGGTTTCTTAAAAGATGTATCTCCAACAGAAACTGATTGCAAATAATGATCCGAGATACAAGAATGATGAGCAAAAAAAGTGATAAAGATGTGGGTAAATTAAAATGAACAGTAACTACAAAACCCAGTAATGATAAACCATGGGTATAAGAACAAGACAGAAATAAAATGTGCATGTTACACTTAGTAGGAAATATATTGACTAAATTTAGACTTTAGTAAGTTCAAATGCATGCTAAAATTTCTAAGGTAACCAGCAAAATAATAGAAAGAGTGTACAACTTCCAAATTAAGAAAGTCAAGAAATGGATGGTGTATTATTTTCCTATTGCTGTTATAACAAATTACCATAAACTTTGCAGCTTAAAATAACTTAGATTTATCTTAGAGTAGGTCATAAGTCTAACACAGATCTCACTGGGCTAAATCAAAGTGTTGACAAGGCTACATTTATTTCTAAGCTTTCAGAGAGAATTCATTTACTTGCCCTTTCTGGCTTCTGGAGGCTGTCTGAATTCTTTGGCTCATGACCACTTTCCTTCTTCTTCAAAGCCCTCAAGTTACAGCTCTATGACTCTTCCCACATTGTCACATTTCTCTCTGACTACAACTGGGGAAGGATTTCCACTTCTAAGCACTTTTGTAGTTGGATTAGACCCACCTTGCTAATCCAGGATAATTTCTGCATCGCAAGGTCTCTAACCTTAATCATATCTGCAAAGACCCCTATTCTATGTAAGGTAACATATTCACAGGTTCTGAGCATTAGGGCATGGGTATTTTTGGTGGTCATCATCCTGCTTATCAAAGGTGGATTAAAAAAAATCAACCTAAAAGAAGACAAGAAGGGAGACAAAAATATTGAAAAATAGTGTTACAAATATAAAGCACAGAATAAGATAGTCGAAATACATATATATATATAGAGAGAGAGAGAGCGAGAGTCAGTCATAATAAATACAGATGAACTGTACCCACCAGTTAAAAGAGAAAATTGTCAGATTGGATGACATAAAATCTAGCTGTATGCCATTTTAAGAGACATACTTAAAGTCTAAAAACATTATCAGGTATTTTCAGAACAGCATTACACAATAACACTCTTCCTGGGCTTCGCATATTGTTGAGTCAGCATATATATTGTTTCCCCACAGAATATGCAGGCTTTGAGTTGACAGAGAGATAGTATATGATGATAAGTCTCCATCTGTCCCTATTTTATTGGAGTTATTTTTTTGAGTCAAGAATAGCTGTTGAATTTTATCAAATTACCTTCTCAGCGTTTATGGAGATGATCATATGACTATTCATTTTGATCCATTATATAATAAATTATATTAACAAATGTCCTTATATTGAACCCTTCTTGCACTAGTAGAATAAACTTCATTTGCTCGTGCTATGAGCCAGCATGCAGCAGACAAACTTTTGCTGGTATTTTAGTTAGTAGTTTTGCATTGATCGTTGCAAATAAAACTGATCTGTAGCTTGCTTTTTTGGTCCATATTTTTCAGATTTGTTTGATTCAACTATGTTGGCTCCCCACAAACCCTTTAGAAGTGTCCCTCCCTTTGTTACAGAAGAAACTTGCCCAAACTAATATGAAGGCAACCAGGACCGCATGACAAAAGATTAAAAGACAAAAGCAATGGAAACAGCATGAACAATAGGAAAAAGACTGGGAGATCTAAGACCAAATAGCTCTGTCATGTGTACAGACAAAATCAGGGTAAACTTGTCTACTGAAAGACCAAATATATTCAGTTTGAAATACAAAGCAAAACCCAAAATACAGGACACCTGGGTGGGTCAGTGCATTAAGCCTCTGCCTTCGGCTCAGGTCATGATCTCAGGGTCCTGGGATCAAGTCCCCCATTGAGCTCTCTGCTTCGCAGGGAGCCTGTCCCCCACCCCCGCCTGCCTCTCTGTCTACTTGTGATCTCTCTCTGTCAAATAAATAAATAAAACATTTTAAGAAACTTCAAAATACAAGAGATAATTTGGAAAGATTAGAAGAAGGACAAATATAAAATCATACCTGACAATTGCAAACAAAAGGAAGTGAGAAGAGAATCTTGACATCTGAAAATGTTGAGTTTAGGACAATTAACAACAAGTGACAAAATGTAGACTGATTTTATTTTATTTTATTTTTTAAAAAGATTTTTATTTATTTATTTATTTGACAGACAGAGATCACAAGTAGGCAGAGAGACAGATCAAGTGTCACATGTCTACCGACTTAGCCAGCTAGGCACCCCAATAGTTTTTTTTTTAAGATTTTATTTATTTACTTATTTATTTACTTATTTTAATTTTTCAGTGTTCTAAGATTCACTGTTTATTATTTATTTGACAGAAAGAAGAGAGAGAGAGAGCATAAGCAGGGGGAGTAGCAGGCAGAGGGAGAGGGAGAAGTAGGCTCCGTGCTGAGCAAGGAGCCTGATGTGGGACTTGATCCCAGGACCCTGGGATCATGACCTGAGCCAAAGGCAGAAGCTTAACTGACTGAGCCTCCCAGGCACCCCTTGATATTTATAAAAAAAACAAAAACTATGGGGCACCTGGGTGGCTTAGTCGGTTAAGTGTCCAACTCTTGATTTCAGCTCAGGTCATGATCTGAGGTCATGTTGTGAGATCGAGTCCCCTGTTGGGCTCTGTGCTGGGCTTGGAGCCTGCATAAGATTCTCATTCTCCCTCCCGCTCTGTCCCTCTCCTCTAAAAAAATCCCCCAAAACAATAACAACAACAAAAATAAGAAATAAAATAATATTCAAAAATTTTAAAAATGGGAGATTTTATGTATTGATCTATAATAGATCAATTGGACAAATAAAAATTATAGAAGAATTAAAAAATATAATAAGATATTCCTTTTTTTTAAAAGAAATCATTTAAATCGCAGCACCACCATTGTGTATGTGCCTTTTTTTAAAAAAGATTTTATTTATTTATTTGACAGACAGAGATCAC